GATGAAGCAAGGAAGGCAAAGAAAGGTTTTTTTGACTATGGTCGCTTTCTATTTAATACCCTATTCATCTTCTTTTACTGAAAGCAATAATGATGGGAAAGCACAGGAGGATCTCTTGTTAAAAAAAAAAAATAAAAGTAGGCGTTAGCAAAGTGGGGATAGTCAAAACTAGGTAGTTAGGGCGGTAGTAAAAAAAATATAGCAAATCGATCAGGACGATGCGACCGCAAATCAAATCAGTGGGTGTTTGCTTTATATCTTCGGACAGTTTCTGCTCACGTTCGCCCATCTTCCTCTAGACGCCGCTTTTTTATTGGTCTAGTAAACAGTGGGAGGATGGACGAACACGAACGGCTAACGCATAATCCGATCGAGGTTAATATTTGTAGACTTAGATGAGAAGGAGGATATTATTTTCGCAGAGAATAGGAGAATAGGGATTTTCATTATCTGTTTTTCCCAAACTACTCCTCGCCTCATACCTTGAAATGATTTCTATTTAGGAAAACACCTGTTTGTAGAATATCAATTTATTATTGATTCATTCCGTATGTATAATATTTATACGTACGTGTATTCCTCTCCAGGTCAATGAGTAACCAATGAATAAGAACTAACTAATCCCTTCAACCAATGAAATCAACGGTCCTCGATTAAAGGATAAAAACTGGTTGAGTTCGTAACCCCTTCACCTCATCCTAAATCCCGTATCCAATTTGTAAAAAAGCAACCGCGGCTCAGAACCACCTCACGACCCTGCCTCGAAGTCGATTAGACAGGCGATTTACGAGCCCAACGGGTAGGAAAAGGGCTGGCATACAGGCTCAGGAGATACTATTTCCTTTTCTCATAACAAATATTATATACGAATATAGGAAATAGCAGCAGGAATTTTTAAAGAATGGAATGGAAATAAGAGTGCATTAGGATCTGTGCTTCTCGATTTTCGTAACGATTTGTTAAGATCGTTATGTGGACGGGAAGCACGCGTAAATTTCTAGTAAATATTGCTTTTTTGTGTATTAATGATTTTTTACCCACTCTCCCCTATACCTTTTTATTCATAATTTTTCCAAACAATTTACAATTCAAGTAGCCTTTTATCCAAAAAATCTCTTCCTCGCTCTCTATCAAACTCCCTTTCTCTCATTTCTCTATCTCCTACAAGCTGATGCATCATCGATCAAATTGATGTTATTTGGATGGCAAAGAACAATTTACGACAAGGGCAATTACGTATGTTAAATACAACTTTCGCATGAATACAATATTGTGTTTGAACGTAAAACATTCAATTCGATTAAACCAATAATGCCTTCTTTCAATTTTCGCACTTGTTTATCCAATAGAAGTTGTCCAACTAATTTGAATATTCATAGATCTATTCAAAAAGTTTTACACATCAATATGTAAACAATTGTTAAAGGGGAAAATCCATTCAATTTTGAATATGTACAAATACAATAATTCAGTGCTTTTTTAATTGTATTTTATTTTTTTACAACCAGTCATAGTTACTTAAGATTATAAATCATTGCGTAATACTTTGTATTCTTTATTTCATTGATGATTGCAATAAAGAAAAATGAATTCATTCAGTTGTTAAAAGCTCTTTCTTGTACTTGACACGAAAGAAATCTACCGACCAATTTTATCGTCTTTTACAGGCTACTTTTCTTTCAATTGCAAACACTCGATTGTAAATTGAAAAAGAGTATATTCTTTATTAAGGGAAAAAAATCTAAGATAAGAATCATTCACTCCTCTATCTTTTCTTTCCCTTTTCACTTTCAGTTGATTACTTTTGGTCCTTCTATTCTCTTTTTTAGGTTACCTTTTTATAAAAAGAGAATAATAAAAAAAGAATACTGAAGAAAAAGGAAAGCTAGCTGGAGCAAAAGGAAAAGGAAGAAGATAAATTAAGTAAAAGCCCTCGTTTCTTTTTTTTATTTCAGTTTACAGTTTGTAAATATCAGAGAATGCTTAAGAGGAAGAAAGAGTAAAATGGTTACATTTGACAAATTTACTAAATATAAGTAAAAGAGTAACAATTTGTTGTTTACTAATGGTAAAAGTTAATGGGTGGCTTTTCCTTTCGTTTTTTATTTTGTTTTATTTAGGTACGAACTAATTGGATAAGTCAAATTGAACAATAAAAAAATTACCACTTGACTGATAAACAGTCGTAAAAAAGTAAAGAAGAGCTAAATTGATCATCGAATATAAAGCGAATAGGTTGACAGAACGTGCCTAACGAAGCATTTTTAATAAAAACTCGTCTGCTCTTTCGTTCTTTGCTCTTTCTATAGGTATAGACAATAACCCCCTGTGCATATATATCCCCTTTATATTTGTTTATATACGAATTGCGTAGGCCTAAGGATAATGGACTCATTTTTTTCTTTTCTATTATTTAATTTCACCGCCCGCTTAGAGTGAATAGACAACAACGCCGTTAAGTTTACAGACGGATTAGTAATGTAGAAAGATCGTAAATTGAATATTTGCTTAGATAAAGTTCAGCCGATAACGGCTATTGTTCCCTCTTCAACCGGTAAAGTTGTAGAAAATTATCATCCTCCGAGGATATTTTCTCTTTCTTCTATTATAATTTATAGTCTTCTAACAGGCCTATACGTGACACATTAAAGGACTACCTAGCGGTCTAATCATCGTTATTAAAGTGTTGGCGACCTTTCTGACAACAGAGCTGCTGATCCTCGCCAGATAAGGTTCCATCGGTAGCAATTAAACTACATAGGCCACCCGTTCTAATTCCATCTGAATATTGCGTAACATTTAAAATCCCTAAACGACAACTGATTAGACTAGAGTACGTTGACAATTGATTACTTTTTCATATTGATGGAATCGAGAGAATTTACGAGCCGTTACGAACGACTTTTGTAATTAGTTAAACAACCCACCAAATTAAAAAATAACAAAGGAAAAGAAAGAATTCGATTTTCCCGCTTTTTATGTAGTTAGACGTTTTAGGAATAAGCTTATTTTGCTTATTCCTGCTGGCTTTTCCCCTCTCTTTCTCTTGTTTTCCCTTAATTCCATTTTCTGGCCTTATCAACAGACTTCCATATGCCGTGTACAAGATTTCTGAAAATATACGTAACGCCCTGCAGTAAATAACTATTAGGGCATGTAACATGGTCCTCTCTACGCCCCCGCCTCCCACCCATACACACTCTATCTCTTCGAAAGGCGATAGGGTCTTGTTTACATCTTATTCGTTAAACAACCCGCTTATTAGTTAGAAAATATCAGCGGAAAGATAAACAGAGGAGGGTAGATACTACTATAGACAGAGTAGAACTTTTCAATATCTCTTCGTACAATAATCGTTAACCTATTTACAAAATTAATGCTGGTAATCTTCGTATAAATTAATTAAGCGTCTCTCTTTACTTTATTTCTATACAGAATGTCGATATTTCCTTATCAAACTACAATTCGAATGTCTGGCAAATTGAAGTTATTAAAGGTTCTTTTTAGAGTATATAAAAAATATCAATTCTTATGCATAAGTAATTTACTATAAGGAAAGAACAATCGATTTTGCATGAAACCGTTCCAGACTATTGCAGGAGTTAGTAACAGTAAACTATATAAAAATGTATATACAGTTTCTTTATATGTATATATATATATATATTGGTACATGGGCTTCTTTTTCATGTGATTTTCATGATAAATAATGAATAAAATAAATAATGATGCACGATTTTATGAAGAAAAGGTCAAAAAATTTGCTATTTTTAACCTTTTAATAAAACAGAAGGGTGTAATACGAGAACAGGGTGAATTTATCTTTTAGTAGATGTTGAGTAACCTAGTCATATTTGTCCTTTTCCTACCGATTTTTTTCCTATTAAAACGAATCTATACACATCAGTGCACTCTGCACGTAAAAAATAATTGCACCTAGACGTAAAAATCCGCAAAAATTCTCGCTGCGCTAATTAGAGCTAGGCCTAGTGATCGCCAGGTGAGCGCGATAAACTAAGTTCCTTAGTTTGGAATTGGAAAAAAGGAAAAGGTGGTCTAGTTATTTTTACTCAATTATTATTTCTATTTTTGAACCTTTTCTTTTCCTATTGTAAATAATTTCTTTTTCTCTGATTGAAATGTATTAACAACTATTGTATATATAAATACAATATCCAGGTAACCTTCTATTCTATTTCTACTTGATTTATAACCATAGAAATCTGTAGAAATTACTCTTTCCTCTGAACCATTTTTATGTCATTTATCCCTCTACTCAGAATGGATGCGCAATTTTATTATACAATATACATATGCTATTTGATGTTTTTCTGAAATATAGGCCTATGGCTATAGCTATATGATCCCATATAGAAAGGGTCCGCATAATATGGAAAATATATGGAGAAAATAGCCGCTAGAAACCTGTAGTGTTAGGCGAATATTTTTTCAGTTATGGAAAACGTGTGTTTGGAGTTTGTAGCCGGGCGCTTTGTAAATAAACGCGAGGCGTTTTGTATACGTGAGATTTTTTAGCATATATATTTATGATTTACACATTAAATAAGATATTTCAAAATATAGATATAATACATGCAATAGATCTGCATAGGCTTATTTTAAAAACGAGAGAAATATTCCGTTTTATGCATAACCGTTAAGCTGTATGTAGTTATATTATTTTATACAAAGTTTATAGCCATATAAGCAAAGCATTTTTCTTCTTTTTTTTTTACCAATTCCTATATTATGATTGTTTGTGATTTCACGCTAAGTGGCGCGTGATGAATGGAAACGTCCGAAAGGCTTTGTTACTTGTATGACAGTACGTGAATTTATATACAGATATCTAATATCAATGAATCCTTAAAAAACATACTTTTATACAAATATAAATCAAACAAAAAGATAAAGAAAGGGTTAAAATACGAGAGGAGGAGACGCGAAATTGAGTTATAAAAGATCTTTTTATGAAATTCCATTATTGTTGTTCTTTTGTGGATCTATTAATGATATCGAATGAGTTCTTCTTTATACTTATATCTGCTCATTTTTTCTCCTTTAGTCGATAATAAAAGAGTAAAATGTTTAATTGATTTAGTACTGTGTTCTCTTTTAAACTTTTCTTTGATATTTTTTCAATATCGGGTACATTTTAACAAGTGGTTATTACTAAGAACCGGATGCTGGAAATGAGGCTTTTTCAAAGATGCAACATCTGTTTGTATAGCATAAGGTAAGCAGTAGATAAATATATATGTATACTAATACACCAGTTGAAATTTATATCAAGTAGGGAGGATGTATATTGACTCGTTCATAAAACTTGAAGCGTATACTTAACTAAGCACATGCTTATGATAAAACTATATTGTTTTATAGGCATATAATTATAAGTGATTGATTAGGTTTCAACATATTTACATGTGATAAAGGAGAGATCTTACTATAATTCGCTAAGAGTCGCTTGCAAACAATAGTAAACAATTTTGACTCGTATTGTTTGTCATACTCTATACTTTTATGTACTTAGGAATATTCTCACTTTTATTATACTAAAAAAATGTAAAGGCGTTTCTTTATTTATCCTTTCTATCATTTCTTCTTTTCACAGTCTATAGAGATAAATAAATAGATTCTTTCTTGTTTTTTGCAGTTGAGATACGCCTTATCCAGTCTTTTTGTAAGTAAAAAGTCAAAATGACCAAAACTCTAAAATAATATAATGATATACATATACAAGTATATATAAATATATGCATATAGACACAAAACTGTTTATATGTATATATATAACATGTGTGTACATTATGATGGACAAGAAATACTTTGATATATGAAGATCTCGAGGAGAAATCAGTAATTATCTATGGGGTAACCTTGGCAATGATGGTGGGTTGTCCATGTAGGCCGGAGGGTAATACTCAAACTGTCGATCGTGAAGGTAACAGTCAGCTGTGCTTGGCTTGTTCACTTTAACGTTGGCAGCTGAGGCAGAGAGGCTGGTACCCGGGTGTTTCGGTCTACTTCTTGAGCACAGTAGACGCCTCTTGAAAAACAACGGGAAAATAACTATACACAACAATACTGTACAGATATGTGTTCCAACAACTGCTCCGACCAGTTCGGTTATATTAAATACTCTTTCAGGCTTTTCTTGACCTTCGAATTTATTACGATGTTTAGTGTATTGACCCTCAAGAGATGCATGATCATCATCAATAATATCATCATCGTCGTCGTCGTCATCGTCACCAAAATCATGACGATGCTCCTTTTTACGCCTATGCGGAAAATCCGATGGCAGAATAGATACAATCTTCGTTCGTAAATTCGGCCACGTAATATTCAAAGTGAGTGTCGTATTACCAACCTTATTTGATGCAACGCATTTGTATAACGTCCACTTTGTGGTGGAATGAGGTCTAGTAGCATGAAAAATGGCTTCATTATAGTGATCCTCTGGATTTGTAGGAGGAACAACGAATGGAGGATCTCGTGTGGACGGTTTAATCCAATATAAACGAGGTACAGGTGAACCAGTTGCGGAACATTTTAACTTGGCTGAATTCTCACTGAACGAAGCGTCTATGTCTGTAAATGTAGGCAGGATACAATTGAAATCGTCCGTACTCAAATCCCTAAATGTTTTGTTCTGTAAATTAGGGGGATAATCGCAAGTTGGTGCTGGTAATTCTTTCTTAACGTTATAAACGTCTTTCAACCACCTTGCTTGACAATCGCATTTGAACGGATTCTTTCTCAATTCAATGTGTTTGATCTGACGAAAGAGATCTAGAAAAGTTGGCTCTAGTTGTTTAATTTTGTTGTTTTCCAGATTTAACGTTGTCAGACTGTTACTAATAGGTCTAAAGACATTAGGATTAAGCGTTGTTATCTTGCAATCGGAGAGTAAAAGAGTTTTAACTGTCATTCCAGAAAAAGCAAACGAGCTAAAAGACAGGCCTTTATTATCAGCCAAATTTAAAATATTTAAGTGAAGACCTTCGAACGTATAATCATGGATCCTCCTTAATTTATTACCGGATAATGTAAGAGCCTTTAAATGTCTCATTTTACTGAACGCTTTAACCTTAATAGACCTGATTTTTGAGAAAACCAATGTCAAAGTTTTTAAATGATTATAGCCAGTAAAATTTTGTCGAGTTATAGGTGAGTGCCTAAAATCCGCATAGGCTATATCCAAGTGATAAAAGTCTTCCTTAGGAGCATCAGGAATCCTCGCTAAATCCTTCTGATCGCAGGATACTTTACTTTCCAGAAAGAAAACACATGTACATATATCGCACGTGTCCTTTCCAGAAACCAATGAGATTAAAGCTATTAGCCAAACTACACGCATGTTTTTGCTTCTTCGTCTTCTGTTCTCCCTCTCTTCTCTAATTTGCAGATTTTAAGTTTTTCAAAGCCCGCCACAGTTTACTATTTTCTCTGGTTTACGTCATGTTCGGCTGCGAGTCTCCGAATGACGAAGTGTCTGACAATAACGCCTCCTAGTGTTCATATAGAGGGCGCCATCTCATGCGCCTATCAGCGCACTCTTTGAAAATTGAGTGACAGTTTGAAAAACGAGTAGAAGGATGCGTTCCTTCTCACTACCTCTCACCTCCTACTCTATTTGCCCTTTCCAGATAACAGGTGCTCCTCCAAAAGCTAGGCCTAGCTAAGGAGTGAGTAAAATTCCGATAGATCCGGCCTTGCCCCCCTTCATCCCTATCTAAACTTAATGTACTTTATATACGTGTAGGGAGAATAGAAAAATGTGCAATTTATTTACTCCCTACCGACAACCGCCGTTGTAAAGGAAACAAGAGGAGTCAGATTTCGGAACGTCGATCGAGAATGTTACATGGAGGCGGCAAAGAAACAGATGCGCTAATTCACATAGATTTCTTCCCTAACCCCAGTTTCACTCCTCTCCCCTTTTTCCAATCTTCCTTATTTTTTATTTACTTTTAGTTAATTCGAAAAAGATTGGCCTCTTTCGCACATGTTCCCGTAAGGATAAAGAAGGAATTTATTCATCAAAAACATTTTTTCTATCCCATTAAGCATTTCTATTGACACAAACCCCATTGTCAAAATATATTTTGTCTCCTGTCGATATTTGAAACTACTCCTTTTTAATTAATCGAACAGAAAAAAAATAAGAAAGAATTTTAAGTCAGTCTTTGATCTTTCTAAATAAGAATAGAAATATAGAAATTGCATATTTTGTTCCTCTGTTCTACAGTATTTTTCTTCTTTTTTTTTTAAAAAAAAAAAACTATAAAGAACAACAATTGTAAAAAAGTTCTTTGCTATTGAAAAGTTTAATTACAACAATAAGTTTGTATATATATATACTGTTAATAGTATATTGAGTAAATAGTATTTTACGTCTTATATATAACTTTGTTCTATTATGGAAAATATTTGAGAAAAGTCTGATCTTTAAGTGAAATCTAAACAAACTATTTTTTTTTCCCGTCGATTTACGATTCGAAATTCGATTTAAATGGGTCTTTTGTTGTGAAAAATGAACCCAACAAACACTACAAAACCAATTTTAACAGTTACCAGTATATAAGCAATAATAGACGGTTATTGTATAAACTTTTTAAAAGTTTATTTGTATAATAAAACATAAAGGAGAAGTAGGACCAGAAAATTTTTTCTAGTATAATACAGTTCAATTAGATGAATTTACATAAGAAAAAAATGCTTTAGGGTCTTTATCATGATAATGGAAAAAAAATCACCCTGGTTTTTCATGATCTTTTGTTGCATAATCTATAATCAAGTACGCACTTTTACCTTTCAACTGATCGTGTCAAGAAAATCAGTGTCAAAAACGCCCACCACCCGTTGCCCACTTCAGCCCCATAATTTTCAAGCTTTGTTCACAACGTGTACGTGATTTTCAATAGGAATTAGTAAAAGATGAAATAGAGAAAAGAATTAAAAAAAAACATATATAAATAGTATATAAAAGAAGTTTATAAATATGTACTTATTCCCACAAGGGAATATACTTAAAAAGAAAGAAAAACCTACTAATTACAAAGTCCAAGTTCCGTATAATTGATGTTAGCCGCCTGTTTTTACACGTGCTCGAAATTTTACTTTCTCTTCCTACGAGAGAAAAATATTTCCGACAAATTGCCGGATTAGCGGGAATTGTTTGATCCAATAGGTTTTCAAAGGGAACGAAAACTTGACGGACAAACATGAAGAAACCGATTTAGGTTTTCTCTTTTTCTTTGAGAGTTGAGTAAATAAAAACTTTTTCACCAATATACTAATGGAAAAAACGAATTTGTAGGCCTAATATTCACCCTCTTCCATCGATGTTTGGAGATATAACTTGAGGGATTTATATTTCGTTCAATAAAACAGTTTGATTGTATAATGTGAGATCAGAGCTGAGTCGAGAGTCGTCTCAACGACAAGTTTGACAGCTGAATCGTGCCTTACTTTGTTTATTTAGCTCCATAGACGTCACTCAAACTTAATTAGTTTTCTATTATACTATTGTATTGCTGCTTGAGCCCCTTTACACACTACGGCTATCGATAAAACGATAAACTGCAAAAAGTAACAAAGTATCGCCATCTAGTGTATTATTCCAGTACAATGGTGTTGGGATTCACTTCTTCTGTCTTCTCACCGTCAACTGCATCCTTCCTATAGGGTAAAAATACTATGGAAATGAAGTAGTAAAAGTAAAGCTGGAAAGAGGTAAAGGGGATTAGATAAAAACATCTGGCTCTGTACTTATAGTACGCTAATATTTCCAAGATATCTAAACGTTTCATCTCTTAGCGCACATAAAGGCTAGGATTAGATTTAGGAAGGGAGAAAGATAGAACAAAAAGTGAAGGAAAGAAAAAAAAGAGAGAATCTTTACTAACCATTTGTTGTAAGTGACAACAGCCGTAATGAAAAACATTCCAATTAGGAAATAGCATCCAATTAATAAAGCTAATTTAAACACTGAAATAATAATGAAAAGCTACAAAATAAAACAAACTAAAATATGAATGTAAGATTGAGAAAAAAGAGTAAAAAAAGAAAAGACTGACGGTAAGTTTTTTCGAATGGAATATCTCTGCACAGACTAATATTTCTCTCAAAATTTATAACCCCACTATTCGGGCTACAAGAAAATTTATAATCTCCATTTTCTTCGTTATAATACGATTGACATTCAGCATTATTTTGCCCATTTTTCTCGCGTTTTTTATATTTCATACGTTGTAGTAATTGTACTTCTCGGCATCCATAGGCTAAGAATGTTGAAATAGAACTTCAAAGAGTTTTTCTTATTTGCTTTAGAACTTACCATCGTATGTTATAATGCAACCAGCTGGATTCAATACTTCAACTTCAACGGCCGAATGATCCGCTATATACTCTCTGTAATAGATATCTTCCTCTTTCTCTATTTTCGTGATATTTGTCGAATTCCGGGCCCTCACTACTAAATTCACTCTATCATCGCGGCATTCTACGCTTAATTTCACTGTAAAATCATCATCTCCAGTATCTAGAACAGCCTTACAAGGAGAATCCCCATCCTGACTAAAACGAATATATATTTCATGTGCCTTACCATGAATCCAGCTACAAGCATCCATTTTATCTTTTTTATGTATTAATGAATAATGCATGAAATGAAATATTTAGGTTATTTAATTCAAAAGCATTTATTTACTATACCTACTATTTAATTCAATAGATAGATAATCCTTTAAATTGTGAGATAGTACATAATATGAACTAAGTGATACGTAGAATGATAAATCCTTTATATAATTTCCATAAAAAATTCTATTATCTGTATTTGAATCTTCAATAAGAATCTTATTATCATCTTCTCCATTGAACTTTCTAACTTTAACGTCGAATTGTAGAGTATAATTTATATTTGTCGTCAAATTGTATATACATGTATTATTCATTTCAATTTGGCTTAGCGTAACATAGTTTTTCATCCAATCACTCAAAGTCAAATCGCAAAATGGGTATGCTGTTGTTTTTTAAATAATCACAATAAATAAATAAAATATTAGATACTTTGATAGTATTCGATGAGGGATTAGGGTTTAAAAACGATGCGAGAGATTCAATATAAGGCTTTTAACGGAATTACGCGTCTATTTTTTCTGATCACATGACTATAATTTGATTAAAGAGAAGAGCGAAAATATATGCATGGATTGGATAGTGGGAGGGGGTGATAGAAAAATTTTCATTTAGAGATATTGAAGTGAAACGCTAATAATATCGATTGACTGTATATACTGTATAAATATACAGTATATAGATTTATACAAAGCGACTGGTACGAGTGGAAGATGAAAGCTTACCTTCCCAATTATATAACCAAATGAAGTACTTTTCAGGATATCGAAGCACCATTTCGTCACTTTGTAATTGTAGAGGAGAGCCTACATTATTTGAATTCTTTTTATCTTGATCTCCGACAATCTCCAGCTTTAAGTGTAATTGCTTAAGAGGAACAGTAGAGAAAGTAACTTCAATCCTTTCTAACTTTTGCAATTTTTTCAATTTAAAGTAACATTTCCCGTCTTTTGGTCTTAATGCAATTAAGTGAAAATTTTCATGATTTTTTGATTGTATACATCTTTTATTCTCTTTTAATAAAAAATATTAATTATATTTATCTGATAGAAGTTTTCCAACATCATAGTATTAACTTACTGGGAATACATAAATACTCAACCGTTAAACCATATTTTAGAGAACACGCTTCCTCAATAAACCTCTTTGTTCTTTCATTGTAAGAAATATAATTAGATACTTTAACATCAATATCTTGAATTTCTAAAGGTTCCATTACGCCCAAATTTAGATTTTCCAACGTTGAATTATTCAATTTTATTAAAGAAACGTCTAATTCATCTTTCACATTTGAAATACTCTCCTTTTCTAATAAATATTTTACATCTTCCTCCTCTTTACATTTGACAGCTTCATCTTTGTATCCAGGATGAATAAACGCTGCATAATTTAGACGTTCATCATCCTTACAAGTTTGAATATTAATAGGCGAGAAGTCCGAGCAATAAATACAATTTTCTATTTTTGGTCAAATATAAACTGATTTATATTCATTAGTTATTCATAAATATATACCTGATTTTTTATGACCGTGAAGAGTTTTAATATCATCCCATGTTAGTTTTTCTCCTTGAATATATCCTAGTAAATTAATGATATAGAAAAAATAGAAGGTTTGTAAATAATGTTCCGCCATTTTTATCTCAAATTCATTATGTGTTTGGTTGGCGTATAGCAATTAGTAACAATGACTTAGTTTGTATGTGGGTAGGCTTTGGTAATAGTTGGAAATTAAGATAAATTAGCTTAATCTTTGCGATACCGCAAATAGGTTATTATCGGCAAAAACAGAAAAAAAACTACTGGTATACATCAAATCTTGCAGTAAAAAACAATACTTTTTATTATTATCTATATCGTTTTTTATATAGTATACATATATAAAATGTTTTCCGTGTTAATAGTTTATTAAAGGGAAAAAGTCATTATTTCCTTTCATCACAGCGTAAAAGTAGGCTCCATTGATTCAATATCATTTTGATCATTTTCCATATCCATTGAATTTCTGTCCGAGTTGTTTCTCCGTGCCAAACCTAATTTATCCCAGTTTCCTTTCACGTAATAAGATCTTCTCTTACTAGATAGATGAAATATTAAAAAAAGAAAAAATAGGTCATTACTAGGTTATAAAATATAATGTCAACTATAGAATCTATTGAGATGTTAATATAAACTTTCTCTATCTTTACTATAGGTCTACGTTTCTAGTGAATTCTAAAAAAAAAGTATTAATAATCCTAAAAGAGAAAAATATAATATAGCATCTAAGTACTAACTATTTGACGTAAAGAACCCTTAGCATGACACAAGTTCCGCTGAGAAATACGCATATTATAGCTGTAATTCCTACTTGAAAAACTGTAGGAAAAAAAGAGTGAAATAAAGAAAAAAACACTAAGCGTTATTACAGTTGCTATATATATATATAAAAAGAAATCTCCCCAAATAAGTAAATAATTTATTCATTTTACCGTAGGATTTTACGAAGTGCTCTGATCGACAAAGGGCAATAGGCCTGGACAAGGTTATAAGACCACTAAACGGTTCGCAAACAATTTTGTACTTTCCATCGTCTTCTCCATATGGAGAATTGCAAAAAGCCTCAGTTATATTGTTTTTATTATCAATCTCGTACTGCATTCTCCTAAGTATAGGTACTTTTCTACAGCCGTAGGCTTAAAATGAAAACAAATACTGCTTTTAATCATAAGTTTATATTATATATATATATATTGGTTATGTATATAGTAATAATGAAATTTAATTTCTAAATTATGATGCTCTAAAATGTTACCCATATAGAATATTTCGCATCCCAGTGTTGAAGGAAAATTAAGACTAATATTTGCATAATCAATATAATAATATTGAGTAGAGTTATAAAAGAATTTCTTCGGATGGATTTGGTTTCCATTCGTTGCATTGGATATTTTACCGTTGAAAGTATACTGGCATTTATAATAAAATGCTATTCCTATATCTTCATTTTTTGATATTAGATTTGATGAACAAATTGTTGTTTCATTAATTGCTCTTTCAGTTTTATCTATCGATATTATCTCTGATAAATTATGCAAATTAACGTTTGTAAATTTGCATAAATTAGAAAGTTCTAATTTAAATATAGGACTTTGATTACTTAAGTTATATGATATTCTAAGAAAATTGCTATCGTATTTCTTTATAATACTCTTTTGAACTTTATCATTTAGTTCATAATTTTCAATATTTCCTTCATTCAAATATTCTAATTGAAACGTTATCTTTTCTCTAATAAACTTGAAAAGTGACGCTTCTAAATTAAATATAACTTTTCCAATAGCTTCAATTCTTATATTACATTGACCATTTTCATAATTAATAGTAACATTTGGCTTATATTTTCTGCTATTTTCCATTAATTTAAAACCGCAAATATCCAAAACTGTAAAATTAATTAAATTAAAGTTTAATAGAAATATTCATGATTTTAAAAAACAGACTTTTCTTTATCTGATATAATCTCACCAGTATAAGTTATATTTATATTACATTCTGGTTCCGTATAGAGACTTAAAGATTGATCAGCCGTTAAAATTTGTAAGCTCTTTTCCAATTCGCTATAGGTTTCCTCTGTTGAATCTTTATATTTAAATATTTTGCTTAAATCTTTAATACAAGCGAATTCGCAATATACAAATTTTTTAGAAGGAGCATGAATATTATATGAACATTTTCCATTTATGCTTTTAGGTTGAACTATTGAACTTTCTTCAACACTTCCACATGTATCTAATTATTGTTTTTGTTTTTAAACATGTATTATTTTAGTTTATTGATGATAAAGCTGTCTATAATTTGAAAGAGAGGAGATATTTACCTGTATTCTCGTAGTAATATGAAATTGAATAGCGAACACTATCGCACTTAGGATATTTTTTAAGGTAATTCTTTATTACAAATGTTTTTACAACAATACGATCATCTTTAAGCGTTTGAAGTCTCTTTTCAACAAATTCACTTTTACAAACAACTGAAGATTCTAGAAATTTTACAATAGGAATAAAAAAGATAAGGAAAAAGAAATTAAAAGTTGTTGTTTGTTCGATTTATGTATTTAGAAAGAAAAGAAAAAAGTTACTGAGCGAAAAACCAGTTAAGGATAAATTAACAACTTCAGCTCTAGATTCTGTCTTTATACTTATACGATTTCCTGAGACTGTACCTGAATAGGGAAAAAAGTTTTTTAAGGTTAAAAAGTAGACTAAAAATTTCTCTCTTTCCCTTTAATTCTTGATTTTATTTTACAAACTTCTGCGAGTAATTTAGCAGAAATTATAGTGTAATTTATAACATTCTTACAAACCTTTAACACTAAACAGCCTGTAAGCTAGGTAATTTTTATTCCGTAAAAAATTAACATCTCCACAAGAATAATAAAGATATCCAATAAAAAGTATCAATTTAATAAAATAGTTCTTCTGCATTATTAATACAGACCTCAACTGTTGGAAAAAGTGACTAGTGAAGTGAAATGCATGTACACATCAAGTAGTTATCGTAAATACCAGTTTTGTAAGGCCCATGGGCTGAATAATAATAATAGAATCCTTTTATTTCTAGGCCGAGCTTACTTTTAATAGTGTCCTATTATCTATTATCCATTAATTAATCTAATTAAATGATCTATTTAAAAAAAAACTAGAGGTATCACAGACAAAAAATTTTCAAAGTTCATATATAATCAACATAGTACTATATACAAACAAACAAAAATATGAGGAAGGAGGAAAAGATAGAGCCCCTTTTAGGGGTTTTTTCAATCAATCAACTATTTTTACCTATTGCTCTTTATTTCTTTACTTTCTTTATTATAAAAAGTGTCTGTTGTATGTTTTCAATTATTCTATAAGATTCTATTCTATCATTCTACAACGTACAAGTAAGCCCAAATACATACACCCTTCTTGCATATACTATATACAATTTTATATAGTATACTTTTCAACTAGCGTAGATAGTTTGACAGCTAGTTTTTATAAACAATGTTTTTTAGTTAATAGAAAAGAAAGGATAAAGAAATGTATGATGAAGGATTAAAAACAGTCAACAAGTTTATTTATAATAATTCTATATAAATTATCAATTTCTTTAGAATTATAAAGATATATTTTGTATTTATTACTTGTCTAAAGTAATTTGCATAGAGGCGGTTGTTTTGGTGGAAGAACTGTTTTAATCAATTAATGGTAACCTAAGCTTAAAGGATATTATACCGAGAACAATTAATTCATTAACAGTCAATTTTAGACAGTATTACTGATGAGTAATTAAATTTTCTATTTAAATTATTTAATTGATACTTTTACTAATTAACAAGGTTAACTCTAAATTGAAATAGCTTATATCCAATCCTACTGCTTTTAGCTCGTTTTCACTTAACCATTATCCTTCTCTTTTTCTTATTCTTACTCTCTCTTTCTCTCTTTCCTTTTCTCTGGTCTTCTTCCTCTTATCTCATTATTATAAAACTGTTTATTTTTAATTAATTTTTTTCCCTCTTTTTACCTATGCAATCATTCTTGGAAATGTCAAGAGTGTATTTTTTTTTGTATAGGCTGACTATTATCAGGAAAATTAGATGCCAAAGGTAAGAAATATTTCATTTTTCGTGTTTTCTTTTCATTTAGTAGGGAGAAAAATAACTTTTTACGATAGCATGTTAATAGGCAATTTATGTTATTATCCACTAGATGGCTCCAAAAGCTGGTAGTATTTTGTACAAATTTTAGAAGTATGAAATTGTGTTTTTATCGCTCAATGGCTTTTGATTTTATTCGATTTTCTTAATAATCTCAAGTATTATTATGATAAACTATCTTTTGGGTAAAGATATTAGCCTATAATTAATATATCGTTATTGTATGAGTAAGATTAGAGCTTTGATGTGCGAATATGGCGTCATCTCTATTTTCTATGGCTATTAAACCATTTAAAAATAAATCAACTGGAAATATAGAAAGTATTGAAGATTCAACAGCACAAATTGATTCTGTTACGGAACAGCATAAGAATAATGAATATCTTGATAGAGGTTAGCAAAATAATCAAGGTTTTCTTCATTGTTGTATCATATGATTCATTGTCACCTTGTCCTTAAATAGGCATTAGAAAAGACCATTGGAAACCGAGTTCTTTAAGAGATACTTGCTACGGTTGTAACAAACCCTTCTCATTTACAGAAAGACACCATCATTGCAGAAGGTTTGCCTACGTTATAAACTTTTTAATAAGTGTTTGAAATGTTTCCCTTTAAGATGTGGAGATTTATTTTGCATCAAATGTTCAAGATTTAGGACAAAATTGAATAATAGCGCATTACCAGATATAAATGGTAGATTGCAAAAAGTCTGTGAAAATTGTATAGAAAAAGATCCACAAGAAATTGGACATTCGTATAAACATACAGATGTATTTTATGCTCTTCGCCATAAACTCCATGGCGATTCATCATCATCTGGTAGTAAAAGAAGCCATGGTAGTAGTAAAACATTTAACTTTGACGAAGAATTAGAAAGAATAAAAGAAGGAATGAGAAACCATGCTAAAAAGTTTATTTTAGTTAAAGCTGTTATGGATTTAAAAAATTTGGTTAGAACCCCAACGTGGTTAAAACCTGCTAGGTGTATGGTAAATAACAAACTATGTGCCAATAATTTCAATATCTATTTTATTCATTCTTCCTCTAAGATAACAAAACTTCAAGCGTCTTGTACGACTTGTAATAAGGAATTTGGAATTTTACAAGCAAGAAACTTTTGTTCAATATGCGCTAATTCCATATGCGTTGCCTGTTCATCGGCAGACGATGTTATTGTTTACATTCCAGATATAACTGGTTCATGTACAGTTGAAATATCTGTTGTAAGAGTAATAGGAGCCCCGGAGAAGGAGCCCGAACAATGCTTCTACGTCACTGTGTGCACAAATTGTAAAAACGAATTAGAAAGTAGACAAGTAAGTTAATATTTGAAATTGACGTATTATTAAATTTTTATCATTCTTTTGTAGTTGAGTAAGATAGAACAAGATAATGTAGAAGATCTTACAGGAAATTGGTGGTTGGATTTCTTAAATATTAGAGATAAATTTAAAGGCGTTGAAAGACAAATTGATATTTATCTTCCAAAAGTAAGATTCATCTATAATAAATCAGAAATAATGAATGAAAAATGCTTTTCGATATTTATTACGAAGTCTCTTTATATATTAAATAAAATAACAGTATCAAGACATGATTGAAGCCCTCGACGACAAGAGGAAAATCGTTAACAATAATGAGAAAAGCAATATCCAAATATTGGCAAAAGCTCAAGGAGACTTGAATGACCATTTTTCCACTTTCATTCTTACTGTTCAAAAGTTGAAACAGTTTAAGCCAGTGACAAAAAGTCAAATGGGAGTCTTTAAGAATTTTATTAGGGTATGTTTAAATACGCCCCTTTTTAAGATTTTCATTTATTATAGATACCATAGTGACCCTGTTAATGATAGTTGTTGTACTACATTTTCTTTCTAGGCTAAATGCGAATACTATCAGGAGAATATCTTTCTATTTAGGCAAAGTAAAAATAAGCTAGAAAAGCTTGCTCCTATTGAAACATTAAAAGCTATTCAAGACATTGTTAACAGAAACGTTAGTCAAAGTTATGTCCTTGTTATTATCCTTAAATAATCTCTTTAATAATTTATAGGCGATGAATAGTGCTTATTTGGGAATTACTCAATTAGCATATGAAACTCTTCATCTAGCAACAATGCATTCGCTTCCACAAGATATATTCAAAAATTTAGCTTCCGTTCAAGATGTAAGCATAAATTTTCTTATCTAATACCAACTTTATTACGATTAAAATTATTGATAATCGTCTATTAGGAAATGGAAAAGGACCTTGAAAATTGTATAATTATCACTGGAGATAATTGGCTAGAACACAAAAAGTTGGCTGAAAAATTGATTGAACAGCAAATAAAGGTGAATTACTTATTTATTACCCGTTTAGTCTATAGGCTAACAGTGTTTTATGCAAATTTTCAGACGCATAGATTTATAAAGCCTTCTAAAGCCCTTGTAAATAAATACGGAAAACGTTATCTGATAACAATGAAAAGAGATCGATGTAAGAATATTCTTGAACAAGTATCAATGCATCTAGAGAGTAAAAGTTCTCATAGAGAATTTCAAAAGTCGAAAGAAGCATTAAAAACTATTATTCATGAAATGAATTTAGTAGAGAGTTAATTGACTATATCTATAACTTTATATACTAATATTAGTATATATATAAATTACTTTTTATATGTTTATACATATACGTATATCTTGTTACTTTGAACTATTTAATATAGTAATAATTACTATATAAAAATCAATTTTCTTTGTTTTTTATACCACTTTTTATTCAATTAAACTTTTCTTTTTTATTCACTTCAAATAAACTTGATTGTATTTCAAAATTTGTTAAAACTACTGTATATTAAACATATATATATATATATATATATAGATTAAAATTGATTAAATTCGCTACTATAATTCTGTTTGTTTATAAAGTTGAAAGCTCGACAAAGACCGGACTTCAAATGTTTTGAAATACAATATACTGTAAAGTATAGAAATAAACATTACAATATGGTATTTGTTTATTTCTGATTGCTAAACCTTTTTGTTATAAGTAGAAAAGAGAAAGAAGAAAGAGGGAGTAGGAGGAGAAGTTGGAGGAATGGAAGAAACTTTATCTTTTAATAATAAAAAAGTAACATTCCTAATAAATAATTTATATTTAAAATATTTCAATTATTTCATAAAATAAACAACATTTTCTGTTTATTTTGATTTCTATCTTTTGTTTCTTTAAAAAAAAATTAATAAGATAATTAGATAAATTGATATAACAATGGAGTTTAAATGTTTTCAATTGATTAGATATCTATCTATCTAGGTTTCACTTTCGGTTTTTTCTTTTTTTTCATAGTTCAACTAATTGAAATACTTTCAAAGATAGTTTGTTCCAATTTTATTATCTTGTCAAGTAAAGAATTGGAATCTTTAATAAGATATTTTTGATGGATTGATTACTCTTTCGTTTAACCTTGGGGGTTTTTTTTCCATATTATCGGGTCAATTTGTTGATATTTTTAGCGACATCTTACGGAATATTGGGATGGAATTTAAAGAAATTTCCTTTTGGAAGAAGTTTAAAGTTTACCGACAAATATAGAAAAGTACTTAAATAGATATCAGTAAAGAATCTCTTCTTGGAACTACGATACTTAAAGCTCTTCTATTAAAGGTTCTTTTGAGACTTCCGCTGAGAGTTATTGGTTATATTTATTTCCACCTGAATCAAAGTTATTAGCTTTAACCTTTCGACGGTATTACACTTCTTTTTTTAGTAGAATTGCACCTATATTCCACCCAACAACCTTATATCTTGACGATTATTCACCTTCATCTAATCGGATTAGTATAAAAGGAGGTGTAAAGGTGGAATTTGATAGTATACTACTAGCTTTTAACATATTTCTGAACTCAATAGAAAAGGATGGGCAAAGAAAGAGAGAAAATGAAAGAGGAACGGCGCAAACTATACAATGAAAGAAGAACAATTTGGTGTTAAAAATTAGAATGTATTTTAAGTAATTATAGGAGTATACAAGCGCCCACACGCCAAAAGCTACCTAATAGTATCTAATATCACGATTCGTTTGATTATAATAGGAAAGACATAAATCTAATTATAATATGACCACGTGAAAATGACGTAGACCAGTCGATTCATTTCCCGAGCTGAACATAGTGTGAACTTTTGAGAACGTTCCTTTTGTGTCCAATTGTAAAGAAGTATTTACCATTTAGTGCTGAAAAGAGAAAAAAATTTTTCAACCGACTTTAAAACGTTATATCACAAAGTGTCAATTAAATAGCGCAGACAATGAATCACTTACAACAGGACATTGACTCTTAAATGTTTAGCCACAACGAAACGATTAAATTCATTTAATTATAAAACGCAATTAAAATTCTTCTTCCTTCTCAAAAAACTTTTTAAAATAACCTTGTCCTTTCAGAATCAAGTGGTTATCCCTCCTTTCAAGAACTATTTACTTTCGTCCATAAGCTGTCTAATATGACTATGAAAATTTTCTTTCTTTAATATATTTTCTATTCATATTACTTGTATCATTGACATTTAAAGAAAAAGTCATTCATATAATAGTAAAAATATATGTTTATATACATTTAAACAGTATATACTGTATATAATATATATGTAAAATAGGTCTAATGTTGAATAAAAACAAAAAAAAGAGATAAAAAGTGATATAATGCTATTTCTCTCCATTTTTTCAACTTTCTTTGTAATCGTTGAACTACCGCAATATTTCTGTTTACTTTATTTTACATTGTCTTTATCTATTGAAGTAAAAAAAATATTATCATCTCTTTAAACAATTAAGATTGCTTAAATAAGTTAGTTTTTTTTATATATATAAACAATAAATAACTAGACGTTAAAGTTCTACTTTTTACTTTTGAAAGTAAAAAAATAATCCAGATTTATCTTCGTATGTTTTTTTTATTTATTGATTTAATTTTTAATTCATTTAAAGCTGATAAGAGAATAAAAGTGGATTAATTTTATTATATATTTATTATGTATTTGTAATTGTTTGTTTTAAGTGAATATAGGTTTATTTCAGGGGAAAATGACGTAGTATTTGTATCAATTCTTTCTCTTTTACCATTTTGCTATTTTAGTAATATTTTCAAGCTAAAAGAAGAAAAGTAGAATATACATTAATATCCGTTAATTTTTCTCTTTAGTTTAGTAACGTCACGTCGGAAGGAAATCAACAAAGAAATTCCACCCAATAGGAGTAATAAAATATCGATATCAATCAGTTTATTAAGAAGTCACTTTCCTGTCTATTTTAGAATAAATAGCAGAGTAGTGAATCACTTCCAGTTCTTCTCAGGTGGGGCAAAGAGAACAATATATTCGTCATAATTAGCTGTAAAGTTACGCTATTTACACTTCACCCTTGTTATATCACGAATTTATTATTTTCTCGTGCTCGTAGCAAAAGAATTATCGCCAACATAAACCACAAAGGACCCACTCATATTCTATAAATCTAACTTTAAAACAAACCTTCCGGGGGTAGATTGTAAAAAGTATATAGCATACCTTGCACTTTTTCATTTATCACAGACATCGTAGTGCTAAACTTGAAACAAGAAACAAAGTAGAAGCACTTACTGTCCTCTATAAGGAAGCATCTCCCACGTAAAATAAACAAAAGATCAAAGCGAATATAGTAAAGAGCGTCCAGAAATAGATAAATAGTTCGTAGGCGTTAACCTTTTCAATAAAAGACAAATAATTCTGCGAATATCTCTTTCCAGTCAAATGAATAAGAAATAGATGATTTTTCACTTCCGATCAAAGATTATAAATCACTTAAGATAACTAGTTTTGTTTTCATAAGCATTTACAAGAACGATTTTTATTAGTTTGAAATTGCCTAAAGCGTGGTGGGTCCAGAAGAGCGAAGACACTTAGGGTTTCAACTATTGAAATATAAGAAGAAATAAAGAAAAAAAAATCTAATCAAAGTCTCATAAGAACCACTTTATTTAATAGAAATGATAAAGAGATAAAAGCTTATAAAAGAAACATTGTATATACTTTGCTTATATTCTATGTATAAATTCAACAATCAAACAATTATCATAAATTAAACTTGTACCATTTTATTATTATTACATTTATTCATTTTTATTATGACTATTTTTTTCCCTCCTCTATCTAGTTAAAAGACTTTTTTTTTTAAAAAAAAACGTTAAACAATATCAAAACACTATAATAAAATAGAAATCAAGAGATAAAAGATTTTATGGAAGAATGTATAAAAAGAATTTGAAGTATGTTGAAAAAAACACATTTTGTTTATCTATTAACTTATTCATTCATTACTTTTCAAAGAAGTATTTTCAAAAAATAATAGAAAGGAGAAAGATAAGAAAGAGAAGTAATCGATGAATGAAAAAAAAAAGGATAATGAACAAAGTAAATCTAAAGTTACAAAAAAGTATCTACGCAGCAGAAAATTTTCAACATCTTTATACAACTTATACAAACTATCTGTTAGCTTTAGAGGATCCCTATTTTAACAATATAGCATTACTAACTCTCCTATCCCTCTATTTTTCGTCTAAATGATTTATCAATAAGACTTATGGAAATTCAAAACATAAAGGTAGGGTAAAAAAGGCCTAGAGATTGTTTACTAATTGTTTTTCTCGGGAGTGGTCAAGTGATTCATACATTGACGAGACAAAGCCTCTTCGTTTCCTAAATCCTTTTTTTTTTTGTCAACCCCATAAAATAGTTAAACTCCCTCGCTCGCTCCCTTCAACCTTCCCCTCCCTCCCCCTCCTTTCAACTTGAAACGCCTATACGTACAATCCTTTGTATTAAGAAATCATAATAATAAAATAAAAAATAAATAAAATATATAATACAAAGCTCGTTCATTGGTGGTCCAACCGCAGAATAACGTCGAGTACTATTAAACTACGCTTATTGTGACGGTTTTTTTTACGGCATAACCACAATAGAAAATTTCCTAACAAAGTTCATACTACTCAAACGATAAGAAGATCAACGAATGTCGATAAGTAATGTTTATTATCGGTCGACTTCGTTTTTAATTAGCCAAAGTAGTATGAAAAGCGGTATATATTAAATGCATATGAATTATATACAATATTTTATCACTGTATAGAAAGTATATATATATATACTAATATATATACTGTATATATATTATATACAAAGTATATAGTTTAGGGAGGGGCTTGAATTTATATTATTAGACTTATTAAGCAATTTAACGTTACTAACCAAAAAATTCTTGTTTATTACACAGAAAATGTAATGCTTTCTTGTTTTATTTATAGTATCTTACTCATTCAAACAAAAAAATGATTAAAGAATGAATTCTGAAAAAAGGTGTCTAATCTTTTTATTAAGATAATCTATTATAATCCATTAAAATGGTTTGATATAGTATTCAGAAGCGAAAAATTAACGACTTGTACGAGAATTGAACTTGAAGGAGTCAATAGTCTTCTTACGTGTTAATACAAGTGTATAGTAGTTGTAAGTGATTCTACTTTGGCTTAATGTAAATTTGTAACTAACGCTCCCTTTAGGCCTAATTAAAATTTAAGAAAAAAGTCTTCAAATTACTGTGCCCCGCCTCTTTATTCTTTAGTTTTTTTTTGTAAAGTTATATTGTTTTCATTTGTCTCTCTTTATATACTGTAT